ACTGGGGAGGCAATGTCCTGGATCCAATGGTGGTTCACAATGCCAAGTTGGAAAAGGCAAAAAAAAGCTTAAGAACTGGCCACCAAATTGGGTTAAGTACACACTGTTGAATTATGTATACTTAAAATAGAAAGTTCTCTTTCAGCCAGGGTCAAGGAGACCTCAATACTCAATCATGGAAACATGTCATATGGTGAAGAAAATAGAGCATTTCAACAACACTATGAATCAACTATACCTAGTAGACATCTATAGAATACTCCACGCAATAACAGCAGAATATATAAGCTTCTCAAGCACACATGGGACATTTCCCAAAACAGATCTTGTGTTAGGCCATAAAATAATCCTCAATAAATTTATTTTTTTTAAGATTTTATTTATATATTCATGAGAGGCAAAGGCATAGAAGAGGGAGAAGCAGGATCCTTGCAGGGAGCCCGATGCGGGACTCTATCCCCCCACCCAGGATCACACCCTGAGCAGAAGGCAGATGCTCAACTGCTGAACCACCCAGGTGTCCCAATTCTCAATAAATTTAAAAGGATGTATATCATACAAAGTATTTTCTCTGACCACAATAGTATCATATTACAAGCCAATAATGGGAAATTCACAAATATGTGGAACCTAAATTACACAATGGAGCAAGAAAAAAAATCAAAAGGGAGATTTAAAAATTGAGATGCATATAAATAGAAACAATGTATCAGACCTTTTGAGATACAGCTAAAGCAGTGATCAGAGAATAACTGCTACTGCAAATGGCTTTATTAAAAAGATCTCAAATAAATAACCTTGCCTTCCATCTTAAACTATAATTTTAATAATAAACTGAACCCAAAGAAATAGTAGGAAGGAAATAGTAAAGAGTGGAAATAAATGAAATAAAGAATTTCCTAAGATAGGATAACTAACAAAACTAAAAGTTGGTTCTTTAAAAAGATCAACAAAATTGACAAAACTTTGGCAAGGGTGATCAAGAAAAAAGAAAGAGACTCAAATTACTGAAATCAATAATTAAAGAGGAGGCATCACTATAGAACTGACAAAAATAAAAATAATTCTAAAGGAACACTACAAACACTATATGTATGGAATACCATGTACTAACATATTAGAAAATTTAGATGAAATAGGAAATTCTACAAAAATAAAACCTCCTGAAATTGGCTCAAGTTGACCTGAGATGAATTAGTAATTAAAAAGAAATTCCCACAAGCCCAGACCTCACTGATGAATTCTCCAATATTTAAAGATGTTTTTTTAAAAAAGGAATAGAAACCATTCATAAAATCCTCCAAAAAGTAAAAGACAGAACTATTTCCATCTCGTTCTATTATAACCCTGAAATGCAAAAACAAAGTTACCACAAGCAAATACAATGTTTATCACCAGAGAAATAAAGAAATGTGGTATCACATTATAAAATATTCAGCTTTCGAAAAGAATGAAATTCTGATATGTGCTACAACATGAATGAACTTTGAAAACATTATACTAAGTCAACAAAGCCAGACACAAAAGGACAAATATCACATGAATCCACTCAGATGGGGTACCTAGAGTAAGCAAATTCACTGAGACAGAAAGTCAAACAGAGGCTGCCTGGAGTTTAAGGGAGAGAAGAATGACAAGTTACTCTTTAATAGATACAAAGTTTGTTTGGGATGAAGAAAGAGCTCTGGAAATAGTAGTATTGGTTAAACAACACTGTGAGTATATCGAATACCACTAAATTGTGCACCTAAAGTGGTTAAAATGGGAAATTTTATGTCATGCATATTTTATCACAATTAAAACAGTAGTATTTTAATAAGAAAGTTACAGACTGATGTCTGTAGACCTGATTAATAATGACACAAAAATCCTCAATAAAATTCTAGTATATTGAATCTAGTGACACAGGGTTATACACCATAACCAAGGAGGTTTATACAAGAAATGCATTAAAGATAAAAACAAAAATACCACCCACACACACAACCAAAAAAAACCCAACCCACAACCATGTAATATACTACATTAATTGTCATAGAGTTTTTGCCCTGTATTCATCTCAAGAGATACGGAAAAAAGTCTTTAAGAAAATCCAACACAATAAGCCACTTAACCTAGGAATAGAAGGGAAGTTCTTTAACCTGATAAAGGACATGCAAAAACAAAACAATCCACAATTACCACTGTATTTAATGAAGAATGACTTGTTCCTTTATGGAAAGGAATAAGACAAGGATGCCCCCCAACCCTCTCTACTTAATATTCTACTGGAAGTTTGTGCTAGGGAAATTAGGCAAGAAAATGATATAAAATGTACCCAGATTGGAAAGGAAGAAGAAAGACTACCTTTATTTGCAGATGATATGATCTTAGTTAAAGAAAATCTCAAGGAATTCACTAAAAACTAGTAGAATAAACAGATACTGCAAGGTTTCAAGATTCAAGATAAAATTATCAATTGTATTTTTATACATCAGTTATGAACAATCTGAAAATAAAATTTAAAAAATAATTCCATTTTTAGTACTAAAAAGATCACAACACCTAAGAATAAATTTAACAAAAAATTTCAAGATTTGTACTCTAAAAACTATAAAAACTGTTGAAAGGAATTAAAAGGGGATAAATAAATGGGAAGACATTCCATGTTCATTGTTCACAATTTTTAATATTGTTAAATGATAATCTACTACAAATTGATTCCTAGATTCCAAGCAATCTCTATTAAAATTGTAACTCAATATTTTCATAGAAGATATTAGCTGCACCTAAAAGTTATATGTAAATGCCAGGGACCAAAATAATTTGAAAAATTTAGCAAATTTATAGGAGTCACAGTTCCAACTTTAACAATTGCTACACAAAACTACAGTAATTAAAATTGTGTAGTACTGGCACAAGGTAGATATATGATCAATGAAACAGAATCAGAGTCAAGAATTCATGGTCCTTTATATTTAATATTAGTGATCAAATGATTTTTGACAAAGTTGACAAGGAAAATAAATGGTGAAAGAACAGTCTTTTCAACAACTGATGCTATGACAACTGGACATCCTTGTGCAAAAATCATGTAAAAAATGGATCATATACCTAAATGTATTAACTAAAACTTGTAAAACTCAAAGAAAAAAATAAAATAGGAATAAATCTTTGTTATCTTGGTTTCTTAGATATGATACCAAATGCACAAGCAACAAAGAAAAACAGATGAATTGGAATACATCAAAATGAAGAACTTTTTGTACTGCAAAGAATATCATCAAAAAGTGAGAATACAACCCAAAGAAAAAAAGATTTGCAAATGGTCAATCTGCTAAGAAGCTTGTATCCAGAATATATAAAGATCTCTTAAACCTCTAGTCTTATAATATCCATTTATGTACAAATGTTCATTAATAGCCAATAAGTGGAAATTACTCAAATGTCCATCAACTTGATAAATGGATGGATATATCCAAAAAACAGTATTCAGCAAGAAGAAATGAAGTAATGATAACATGCTACGAAATGGATGACCCTTGAAAATAGTATGCTAAGTGAAAACATTAAGCTGGTCACAACAGAACCCCATATTATAGGATTCATTTTTCTAGAAATGACCAGAACAACAAATTGTAGAGAAAGTAAATGAGTGGTTGAATACGGCTAGGAGATACGGAGGGCTAGGGGTGTGACACCTAAATGGAACAGGGGATCTTTCTGGGGTGCTGGAAATGTTTTAAAATTGACTGTAAAAAATAAAATAAAATAAAATAAAATAATAAAATAAAATAAAATAAAATATAAATAAAATAAAATAAAATAAATAAAATAAAATAAATAAAATAAAACAAATAAAATAAAATAAAATATAAATAAAATAAAATAAAATAAAATAAATAAAATAAAATAAATAAAATTAAATAAAATAAAATAAAACAAATAAAATAAAATAAAATAAAATTGATTGTAATGGTTGTACAAGTGGGGGACTTGAGTATACTAAGTTGCTAGTATGTACACATTAAATGGGTGAATTAATGTAGTATGTGAAGCATAGCTCAATAGAGCTCCTAAGGAGAATCCCCGAGTTCCTCCTCACTCTTAATAAAAGAATCTGTTAAGATGACAACTTTACTTACATCCCAAATGTTTCTAGCACCTGGTAGCTCACCTCTTTTTGAAGCAGCAACGGTATGGGCAGCATATCAGTTATAAATGTCTTCCTCATAAGCGATGTGAAACCTGGCTCTTGTTGCATTCACTCCCAGAGCAATGGGAATTAACCTCAATCAGAGAAATGATGGCACTACTAAGTCCAACTCTAGTGCTCAGATATGTTTATATGTTTGTGTAACAGTAATTAGAGATTTTAGCAGAAAAATGCTTGAAAGATTAGAATTCTGTAAATATTGGACATGAATTGCAATAATCATATGGAACTAAGTAGTGTCTCTCTCTCTCTTAGAGCACTTATTCCATGTAGGGAGCCATAGTTCCCCGACTCCTTATTACTCACACAGCCCACAAAGGTTCTCAAAGATACAGAGGGGGATGAGAGCCATAGCAACTGCTATTGATTTGAAAGATTTTCAAAAAAAAGGTTTAGAGTAGGATTTCCAAACACAAGTACCTCCAAGAGACCAGGCCTGCACCATAAATGAGAGTAAATAGGTGTATGTAGTAGGGAGTAGTGGAGACTATGGCTCACTAGACAGTATATGCCCAAAAAAAAGGAGGGGAGACAATACTCAGATTAATATACCACTGGCCTTGATAAGAAAATCATGGGACTGGGCCAGTTTTTGTCACTAGAGCAGCCAGGATACTCTTGACAACTTAAGAAGACCAGGCAAGTCCTCCAGGAACTGGTCCCACAGCCTGGTTTCAAAAAAGAAGTGAAGAGAAAATGAATGAAGTTGTTTGCTAATTGTACCCCACAAGTTTCTTTTTTATTCAACACAATAGCTATGAAGTATGTGTGGGTCTCCAGATATACTGTATTATTCTGTACTGACCTTGTGAAGAGCCTCATCCTCTGTTTTATAAACTCTCAAATACTTCTCAACAAAGAGGTTGACATAGTGTTGTCTCACTTCCTCAGGGATTTTGGAAGAGGATTCTGGTGTGACCAAAGCCCGCTTGCGATGAGCCACCCTGTATTTTGGCATCTTGTTAAATACAGAGTTGTTGATTAGAGAAAAGAAAAACACATGTTTCTGTTTAACATTTCTACTATGTGAATGAAAGAAGTAAAACTCTCAGGTAAGTTCTACAGTAATGAAATTCAAAAATAATGTCCAGTTTTAAATTTCTTAAAAATAGAATAGTATGAGGTATAAAAGGGCCTACACTCACAAAAGTTTACTGTGACACTGCTGGGTCTGTGCTGTTATTTCCGTGTACCCCACTGAAGCTGACCTGAGTACTCAACTCCTCTCTCTACTCCCCACATCTGCAATCGCAGAGCTCTGATGTGCTCCTCTGCCCAGCATATAGGAAAGTTTGCCCCTTACCCATTCTTAAAACAAACGCATGTCCCAATGTCAGTTACCACTTCACAAAGAAAAATGCTCAGACTTAAATAAGATTTATGAAGAATGTGTGAATCCTCAGTTAAATGATCCCAGGTATAAACAATTTTAGTATGCCTCTTGAAGAATGTATAAAGACTATGAGAATTCTAAAATCAGTTAATCTGCCTCACTTTTTGGGGGGGAAAAGCCAATATTACACTTCTTTGCGTTGTTGGGTTGTAGCTCAGAGGCATTTTAGGGAAGGAGAAAGCCTTAAAATTGACAAGTGGTTTTCTGCTGAAGAATACTTAGTAAACAGGGAAAAAAAAGTCACTGCCACAAACAGAAAAATAAAGGGGGAAGGCTATATTACATCACTGATAGCATTATTTACTAAAGGTCTGCCTGCCTGCCTGCTTGCATTCTCTCTCTCTCTCTCTGGTACACATACACAAGACTCACAGGATGTCTCTTGAAAGGTATATTCCAATGTGAAATTTTCCTTTGAAAAAAAAATTGAGCAGTCTTAAATTAATCCTAGCCACAGAGGTTTTAGGTCTAAGAATATGCCTAGTATTTCCATGGACAGGATAAATAAAATAGCTGAATGTGACTTTCAGACATAAATTTCATCATTTTCATAAAATGAAAATAACTGTATCTAACAGTAACCAAGAAAAGTGGAAACTTCTCTCTGGTGTCTGACATTTATCTGAAGGCAGGATCTCCAGAAGAAAAAAAAAAACAGAATATAAGCACTCTCTCAGGGACTCTATATATAGACAGGAAAGTTGGTTATCAGAAATAAAACTCTAGTCTTCAGACTTAGTTTATAATACCTTTATAGGAATAGAAGGTATTATACTTTTCACAGGAATGTATGATCTGCTTAGCTTTGCAGTTGGCTTTTCCCTTGATAGAACAACATCCACATGAAGTCCACTTGATATAAGCAAATTTTCTAAGAAGTTTTAAAGAACAAGAAAAAAAGAAGGTAAGTTTTAGTGATCTTACCCTCAGATGATTAGAGTTTATCTAGTTACCAATTCAAGGTTTTTATAATACTTCCTTTATAGACTCTATATTTTTTCTGGAAACAAAATGTAAACATGAAAAAAATCCCAATAGCTAATCCCAATATAAACTAGAACAAATTTAGACAATTTATAAGGCTATTCATTCCATGTAGAAATACTGCAAAATATTACCTCTTATGGCTTAGCATTTAAGGATAAACAGCATAAATGATTTAAATATCATGCTAACCTTATTGTTTCACATAAAGCTCCATGTGAACAACTTAACTGTAATTGGTAATATGTGGACTTCATAGGAAAGGTTCTTTAAAATAAGGTAAAATTCCATTTCTTAACTAAATGATTTTCTCATACCTCCTGAGGCTTTCCTTTGGGCCTGAGAGATCGGATATGCAAATATGGTTTTGTTTTGTTCTGACCGGGCAGCAAGAAAAGCCTGCTCACTCCTGATGTCAGCCATTATCTGCACTGCCTGTTGCTGGGCCTGAGGGATTCCAGGATGACTAATTAGTGGTGGAACTGGCTCCCTGAATGAGCTAAGGATCTCCTTACTGGTTGGAACCTACAAAGCATCACAGAAAATACAAAATGATTTTAAAAAATGTGAGAAGACAGATCATTTCACTTTTTCTCTTTGCACAGAGGCTTTTGGAATTGACTACATTTATAATACCCCATGTAATACAATACACACATAAATGGAGTATTCTCAGAAATAATCTGAGAAAAAAAATTGAATCTTTAAAGCATATAAGAAAATTTCCTTGAAATAAGAGAAAACGTTATTTCTCATATGAAAATGACACAACTTCGTATGCAGGTAAAAATGTCAACAAAACAGCTAACAGTAAGACATATCCTACCAATGTTACAGGAATTTGAAGTCAAGGAAAGAATGCTTTAGGTAACCTGGCAGAAGTATCAGGTGACACATTCAGGGAGAAACAGCAGGCTAACATCAGACTTCTCTACAGCAACATTCAGTATAAAAAGAGAATGGAACACCAGAAAGGATGTTCAGCTTGATTAACAACAAAATAAATGTCACAGAAAACAAGGAAATAAAATATCACCCAGATGGACAGGTTTTTTAAAAAAATTTATTTATTTATTTTTTTAATTTAATACCCATTTTTGGTAAAGGTTTGTGGAAAGGGAACCCTGAAATACTATATAAAGCTGTACACTGCTACAACCCTTCTGGAAGGCAATTTGGCAACATACTTTTACAGTGTTAAAACTCTATCTTCCTTTGTCCTGTTACTTCCATTTGTGAGACTTTATTTTAAGGGAGAAAAAATTAAAGGGAGATAATGTTAGCTTCCATAATTTTTTTCCTAAGGAGAAAGAAACTACTTTATTAAATACCTATATATCTGACCCTTGGATAGATACTCAATATCTTCATTTCACAGATAAAGAAAATGAGGCTCAGAGAAATTAAATAACTTGCCCAAGGACGTCGAACTATTGTGAGAAGAACCAGAACCCAAGTTCTCTTTTGGGACTTGGAAGCATAAACTTTTTTTATATTTTTTAACACAAAAGTGGTAGAGGAATACTACTCACAGCAGTGCCTATTTAGCTTCTTTACATGCCATAAAGGAATTTCAGCATATACAATGTTACAAGAAGTTTAAAGGACTTTGGAAATCTATAGCCCATTCCCCTTATTCACAGTACTTAATGTTCTATAGGGTCCTACAAACAAGCATCAGTGAGTATTGAACCGTTGCTCCTGGGGCAAACATAGAGTTCGGTTCAGGTGAGTCTCTGGTCACGTTTCTGTTAACCAATCAATAACTTAACCTTGTTTTATGAGTGTTTCTGTTTAAAGACTCTTAGTATATACTGCTGATTCGTGAACAGTGAACTTGTGGTCAACAGCACTGTATCTCATGCCTATACAAAGCTTATCTAAGACATCTTCTCTGTGAGGCACATCACAGGCTTCTTGCTCTCAGAAACACTAGACAACCCTATACTTGGCCATTTTAATCAGCAAAATTACCAACACCACAAACATTCAAAGAAATGGCACTCAGTAGATTGAGAAAAGGGCGAATGTTAACAGAATGAGAGCTGAAACAAGAAGGCAATATTGCCGTGTTCAATCTTAGCTGGGAATGTGTGTGTGAGGCATTTTTTTTTTTTGTCATTATGCAGGCTGACAAAGGACCACAAAAACGAGTCCTTATTTTAAGGTTACAAATTACTTTCAGTGAATAGGTGAATTCGAAAATACAGAATCTGAAAATAATGAGGTTTTTTTTTTAAAGATTTTATTTATTCATTCATGAGAGACAGAGAGAGAGAGATAGGCAGAGATACAGGCAGAGAAGCAGGCTCCATGGAGGGAGCCGGATGTGGGACTCAATCCCAGGACTCCAGGATCATGCCCTGGGCTGAAGGGAGGCACTCAACCGCTGGGCCACTCAGGCGTCCCAAATAATGAGGACTGACCATAGAAATCTATAGTTAAAAAGCTATGCAATAACAACTTACCTGCTTTTAATCAAAATGTTAGATGATGGGGGGGGGTGAAATGAAGGATGCAGAAAATGCTTACACAGAGGAATCCACTTAATGAGTGTCCACTTGTGCCCCCAGATGGATAACAAGACAGCAAGTACTGGAACATACTTAAAGCTCAGAATGACAAGGCATGCACTTTGTAAAATCATGTGCTCTGCAAGTGAGGAACTAAATAACTCACATCAAACTTGGCAATATGTGCAATTCTCTTTTTTGGTCCAGAAGTGTTTTGACAATACAACATCTCTAATTCCATTTGCTTTCCTGAAGCCTAGTGGGAAAAAGATAAGAATTATCCAATTTTAGCAGAGTAAAGGCAAATCTAGCACGACTCCTGAAAAACCACAGGAATCCAAGCTACCAAATACTGGGTGACTTATTAAGAAATAATTCACAAAAAAATAATTTGAATTTGACATGCATACACTACAATAGAAGATTTCTCTAAGTTGGGAAATCAACTGTAAACTGCTGTATGTACTACCAGGGCCTCTGGAATCTGTCAAGTCTATGAGACACTATAGCTGGCCAGTTATCAAGGCTTTTGCCTTGTCGTTCCAAAATATTACTGATCACAAGAATCAGTATGTATTATATACACATTATAGAATTCATATTTCCATAGAGTTTAGAATAAAGTACACACTTAAGGGAAACTCCTTTAAATTTAGGAAAAAGATTTAAAAAAAAAAAACTGGACTGACCTGTTTAGTAGTCTCTCTACAAGCTTCACTTTCTGTGAACTCAGTGAAAATCTGAAGACATTCCTTCATCGTGTCATCATAATCAGAGGGAGTGTCCTCTTCAGTATGTTCCTTATCAAAATCAAATTCAACTAACTTGTGGTCAAAAGTAGTGAAGTCTTGACTATCATCTTGTTCTCTCAGCACTTTGTCTTCTGCATGCTCATCCGGGGAAGAGATTTGGGGCTGGCTTGAGTAACGACATTCACTTTCTTCATTCTGAGAATCATAAATTGTTTTTATGTATTTTTTACTCTGTGGGTAATTATCATCATGGATTCTGTTCCGTATTTCTCTGTCACTGAGAGGTGCACAAGATATACTTTCTTCTGAAATACAGACATAGTTTCTCTCACCACCAAAGCTTCCCATCTCAGACATGTGGTTTTTAACACCATACAAGTTTATGTTACTTTTTTTAACCAGGGAGTTTTGCATGAGCAATTCTGGTGGTTCTGATTTGTTAGCATCATCAACTATCAGTGTGGTTGGTTGGGTTTTATCTATTTTTTCCTCTTCGGTGCCACTTATTTGAAGATTTCTCTCCTCTGAGGACATTATATGTAGTCTTTCGTTTATATTCTGATATTTGAAGCCTCTCAATGGTTTAGATTTCTTAGCAATAGGCATGATTGGAGGTACATCCATTACAAGGTCATCTTCATCAGATTCTTGAAGATTTATCATAATTCTTATTGGTGAAACATAAGGTCTTTGGCTCTCCTGGGGCTTGTGGCAATTTTCACCCACAGATTTTTTCCAGGTGCAGAGGTGTTGTGTATCAGTCTTATCTTGCCCTGCTTTCGATGCCCCAAGCAGCCCTGCAGAATAATTGAGCAAGGGATCATATTCTAGATCCGTTGCCGGACATTTGTGGTCCAGCACATACTTTCTAGGCTGACTCTCTTCGTTCTTTGATGGTTCATTCCACTTCTGCTTTGGAAGTAGGCTATTATATTCAAGAACATCTTGCCTCATATTTTTGTAACTCCAGGAGGCGATGTGGCTTCGAGATAGCTCTTCAAGTGTTAAAGTTAACTTGGAGAACCTCTCCTGCTTTTCTTCAACTTCAGTCTTGACAGATTCAATTTCTTTGTTGAGCCTTTCCAGTTCTTCCATAGTTGTACCTAGTTTTGTCAATGGAAGAAGAGTTTTATCTTTGCAAATCACTTCGGATGAAATGCAGACTCTAGAATACCCTGGACAAGTAGCTTACTATCAAAAGGACATTAACTCCTCCAAACCCAGCTGTTCACAGGGGGTGGTTTACTAACTGATAGGTTCTTAGAAGCAGAATGAGAAGTCAAGGCTAGCTCTCTTGAAGTCTTTCAAATATTGAGTCCTTCTCCATGAGTGATTAAAGAACATTCGTGCCTCGTTATTAGAGTGACTATCTACCAGTGGGCTGGCCAGTTTTGCATATAATTATTGAACTGTGTCAAACGTGATACAGTTTGGATATACCCCATTCACCGTATTATTTACCAACCAGTGACCATTTGAAAATGATTCAAAAAAAAAAAAAAAGAAAATGATTCAAAAGCTAAATGCCATTTACATGGAATTGCACATAGTTTCATACACCAATACATCTTCCCAGTTATAAGAAAAAGTCATTTAAAACATTAGTCTTTCCTAAATTCAGTGGGCCTCAAAATTTTCATTGAGGTCCCTGGTATTCTACTGATTGCCTCAAATATAAAACACCTCTCCCACACACATTGATGATAAAAAAAAAAATCTTAAAAAAAAATTGGTCACTAAAACTCCAAGCAGCTGGATTCACACTCCTAAGGAAAAACCAGGATACTAACAAGATATAAGGCTTGTGGTAACGGCTGTTCACAACACCTGGCAGCTCCCTCCTGACTTTTCAGTAAGGAAATCACAAGTTTTTTTCTCTCTTTCCAAGGTACATTTTCCTTTATCATTTATAGGACAATTTACACACTTCTCTCTTCTCTCAAACAAGAGATTTCAGATTTAAGATGTGGTCCCAATGTTTGAAGCTCTGAATTCATTTTGGAGAATCCCCATGTTTTGCTAACACACACATGCTTCTTTACCCTACGAGCTCCCTCCTGGCTCAATAGCCTTTTGTTTTCTATTAAGAAATTAACTCTGCTGAAATCCAAAACAAGGTGTTACAAAAGCGTATGGCATTTGGGGGGGGGGTGGGGAGGCAAAAAGCAAGCACAAGAATGAAAATTATCCCAGAATCCAACAAACGCCTGGATCTAATTTCTCTTTCAATAAACTTGAACAGGGAACTAAACTCTGGGTAATCAGTCAGAATTGCATTTTAGCATAATCTGTGTTTTTTTTTCGGTTGCCTTCATTCAGGAAGGACTGTTTAGGCACTGCTTTGGGGGAGCTATTGGGGGAAAAAAAGTGATTATACTTTCTATGTCACAAGTTAAAAAAAAAAAAATCCCCCCCATCAGAAGCTACATGCAGAGGGCTAATTTTGAGGGCTAAACCTTCGCCCAGGCGAAGATTAGAGGGGACCGAGGGGAGTTCCTCTGGGCTGTAAATACTTTTTGCTCCAACCAGGGTCCCGCCTCACCTCCTTTTCACCAGAGCACAGAAAACCCCTTCTAATAATCCCACACCGGGGAGGGCGGCAAGGAGAGAGGAGAAGCCCACACGAGCCCGCGCCCCACCATCCCACGGCCCGCAAACCTGCGCAGGCCGCCGCCGTGGCCCGCGCGCCCCGAGCCGCGCATCCCGGTCCGCAGCCAGGAGGCCACCGGCCCAGCGGCGCCCCGCCCCGCCCCCCCCGCCCCACCGCGTGACCCGGCCCCGCCCCGCCCCGCCCCGCCCACCTGCGGGCGGAGCCACCGCCAGCGCGGGGCAGGTGCGCACAGCTGTCACTCACGGGGCGGAGGTGCCCGTCCTCTGGACCCGAGGCAGAAGTTCTTAAGACAGCCAGCCCCCTCCGTCCTCCTGAACCCCTCTGCACCCCGCCCCCGGCCGCAGGAGTCTTGCGACCACCCAAAAGGCCTAAGGATAACGCCCTCAGTCGGGACCCGCCCTTAGCACCCTTACTATTCCACTTAGAATGTACTTCCCACGGGAGGGACAAAGAGCAAATAAAGGTCGGCGCTAAGGCTCCTGATGCTGGGTGTGTGGTGCTGGGGAGATTGACTCTTGGGGACTCTGGGACAACTTGGTTCCTCTTCCTAACGCCAGCGCTTGTTTTTCTCTTGTAATAGCCACTCTGTAGGAATTGCCCTTGAATAGCCAAGGGAGAGGAAAAGAGATTAGAGTCCCTCCTGGAGGGCTGAGGGACAGGCCGAGAGTAGTGTACGGGCATCAGGGAAAGGAAAAAGAGGGTGTTTCAGAATGCAGGGGAGACAGGGGAGTTAAAACGGAATTGTTTCTTTCTTTTTTTTTTTTTATGTCCTTTCAAGGGAAACATCCAGAGAACCTCAGGAAATGCAGGTTTGGTAGAAGACAAATCAGAAGCTCCCCCACGACGCCCCCACACCAGCCTGGTCTGTGGGACCCTCTTCTTGCTTCTAGACTAGGAAGTGAGGAGAAAGAGGTGGAAGCCAGTAGGGATTACCTGATATTTTTCATGCCCACTGATGAGAAGCCAAGTTTTAAAAATATAGTTGATGTCTCTTTTGATCATTTTTAGCCATGGTCATGCTATATTGATTGACTTTCTCACTATAATGCTTTTTTAGTACTGGAGATGAGTTGGGTGATTGAAACATAACTTACACCTGCTTCTGTTCAAGGAGATTCTCGACACCTCTCAAGGGTGGGTGGAGAAAACAGGTAGGAATGGTTGGTAGACATCCCTCAAGCCCACCTGATGCTCTTTCCATGAGCTCTTTCTCACCCATGGATTCAACACGGCTCCTCCGCATCTGGAGTACTTCCAAGCAGCTGCAATCATCTGCCTCACTCAGTTCCCCCCGCATTTCCTGGTGCCAGAACCGGCAATACAAACGCTGGCACTGACCCCTGGGGCCGTCAAAAGGGCATGGCAAATGGCAAAAGTAACCCACAGTGGGCAGCATGGGCTCACGGTCACCCCCACTGGCTCAGGAACTGCCCTCTAGGAGCTAGGCCTGAGGTGAGCTGCTAAGCCACTTCTTGTCCCGGAAGGGTCGGTTTTATATAGTCTGTAGCTTCTGAGCTTTCCCAACCAATGGTGAGACGGGGGCTGAGATAGAGCAGAAATCAGGGAGTTAGCTAATGACTCAGAATAGGTTGGTAAGGGACCTGGCAGGTGAGTGTAAAGAGTGTGTCTGTCTTCTATGCAGAAAGTTTATAGAGACCTAAGCTAGAGGTAGGGAAAACAATTTCCCAAGAACTAAAAGGACCCTTAAGGAACCTCCTGTGGGGCCTGCCTTTCTCCTAAACAACCTCTTTTGACTTTTGTTATGTTTGACTAGTAACCTTCCTGGATCACAGAGAGGAACTCACTTTGGAAACACATCTTAGCTTTGCCCCCTCTCCAACAGGTGATCTTAGGCAGGCTATCTGATTTGCCTGAGTTTTCATTTCTTGATCTGTGAGATAAATGTGCCTTTAATAGGGTAGTAGAATTCAGCATGATGTAATGTACCAGACTGCCTAGCATAAAGTAGATGAGAATTTAGGAAGATGGTAAAACCTAAGTCCTCCCCACCGCCCCAGCTCCACACATATCTACAAAAGACCTGACGCATATTCCTAAAATCCCTCCATTTGAAACTAATTCCTCAAAGCAAAATAATATCCATATTCCATTTGTCTTCTTTGTAAACTGAAATACATCTGGGATGGATGACCTCATAAGGGATGGATAACTGGATAATTTTTAAACGAGAATGCTAAGAGTCTTATAATGATCTGAAGTGGCACTTGTACCCCAATGTTTATAGTAGCCATGTCCAAACCATGGAAGTAGAAAAACTATTGAGAGTGCCCAGATGTCCATCGACAGATGAATGGATAAAGAAGATAGGATATGTATATACAATGGACTATTACTCAGCCATCAAAAAAACGAAATCTTGCCACTTGCAATGACGTGGATGGAACTAGAGGGTATTATACTAAGCAACATAACTCAATCAGGGAAAGACAATTGTATGATTTCACTCATGTGGAATTTAAAAACCAAAACGGGGGAGGATAGGGGGAGGGAGGGAAAAATACACAAAATTAGAGAGGGAGACAAATCATAAGAGACTCTCAACTCTAGGAAACAAACTGAGGCTTGCTGGAGGGAGGTGAGTGGGGTGACAAAATAAGTGGATGAAGGGCATGTGAATGTAATGAGCACTGGGTGTTATATGCAGCTGATGCATAACTGCACTCTACCTCTGAAACTAATGATACACTATGTCAGTTGAATTTTAAAAAAAATTTTTAAGTGATAAAATTATAAAAAGAACGCTAGGAGTCTCTAGTACTACTTTAGTTTCATTTCTTGACAGGGCAGGACTCCTTAGTCAGTAAAACATGAACAAGGTGTTCTTTTTGCTTTGGTGAGGGGGAGTGGAGTGTAGGTAGTGGTGATTACCTTGAAAGTCCTCAAAATGCCCCCAGATAAGATAGGTACCTAAATGTCCTCATTTTAAAGCAAACCAGTCTAGAGTGAATACTTCATAAGTCACTGTCCAAGATCATTTTTACTAGATGAGTTTTCCACAACTTATTTTCTTGTATTTTCTTCCATTATATAATTTTTATGGTTGAGAGAATTTTATTGAATACATCCTCCTTTTCAGACACTAGAAATTTTAAATTTCTCAGTAGAGTTTCCACATCATGACCTTAATGGGAGTCACAAGAAACTTCTTTTCTGACAAAAATGTAAAGTTGTCTATTCATCAGTGGGAGTTTCTTCGCTTGGTTCTTCACTCTGAATTAAATCTGATTCATCATTCACGCCTGTATCATCTGAGGCTGTAGAAACCATGTCTGTTGTTTTAGATTTTGACATTGTGTCTGATTTTCTCAGTTCTGAAGAAGTGGTGCCCCAAAACGTGCTGCTCTCAGCACTCTTAGAAAAAGATGTGTCTGATACACCTTCTGATGGATGAAAATAAGACAGAGTTGCTAGCTCTGGGTTGACAGGGTATTGCTCCTGACATCTCTCTTTATAACTGAAAAAGAAAACATGTATCAAGAATTGTTTTTGATTGTATACACTTGCAGCTCAGCTCAATTTAGAAAAGCATCGCAAAATTAAAATATTAATTCTATCCAGTTACTTGGTATAACACCATATAAATAAAGACAAGTGTTAGACTCTAAGCTGTTTTGAACAGCGTTCATAGCCTTTTTGTTCTAAGGCTGGCAAAAAAGAATGTATATTTAGATTCTCTATATCCTTTCCTGTCAAATAGTGTTATTTTATTTTATTTTTTTTTTAGCTCTAAGTGACTATTTAAAATGCTGGGGAAAAATTCTCCCTGAGAGATGGCCCCATGCTCCTTTCTGAAGAAGGGAGATGGCACCTAACTCAGTACCTTATAAATTTGGGAGACACATTTCCTAAACAGTCAACTAAAGAGGAGGGTGAGAGCTTCATATCATGCATGTTCCAAAGACTCCAGAGGTCTGCAGACTTACCTAATTGTCTTCACTTTGTACAGCATGGCACCACAGACTGCCAAGAGGATGACAAAAATGAAGAGGGTCATCAATGAGATGCCCAGCATTAATTTTAACTTGATATCCTGTAGCTTGTTCAGGTCGTCTTCATTAGTAGTATTCAAATCAGACACTGAGAGGAAAGAAAGAAAATGCAATGGAAAACAGTAACTGTGTCCAGCATATTTTCCTGGAGAAGTAAAGAGAGCAAAGCAACTGCAGTGAAGCCTTCGCCATCCTGAGTATGCTCTGCTCACTCTCACTTGTCTCATGCAATGCAAAGAAGACTATAGGCCACTCCCTAGGGCTAAGTAAGCTTCACTTGTTTTGTTTAACCGCCACAATAGTCCTGGAGGAGCTGTTCTGAGCTTCATGTTACAGGATCACAGACATTTATGAATTTGCCCACGGCACATAGTGAATAAGTGGCAAAATCTGGTTTCAAACCCAGGTTACCAGATGTGAAAATGTGTCTATAGCAATCTTCGTCCCTAATAAAGACCATTTCAAGACTCTGAAGAGATGACTATTAAGAGATGACTATTATGCATGACAAACTTACCAGGGGTTTGTCCTTCAGAAGAGAAAGTTACTGTTTTATTATTGGGACCTGCATTAATTTTTCTCTGATGTTAAAAGGATGGTGTACTAGATGCTTTCTCGATGAGGCTTAAGAATTGAATTTGTCATTTTATTACTGAGATCACACCTAGTGTATCTGATTTTAAAAAAGAAATGAAAACCTACTTCCTTCTAAAGTAACTTCGATAATAAAAATCATGTCCAGATCCAGAGATGTTGAAGGTCTTTTTACTGAATCTATTAATGAAAAAAAAATCTTTACTGTCAAATTTTATGTTTTCTTGAATTTATGTCTTACTTAATAGAAATTTATTTAATGGTAACTTTAAATGGCCATGTTGATATTTCTCTCTTCCCCCAACTTTCTTTCTTTTTTTTCCCCCAACTTTCTCCCACTCAAAAGTTCCAAAGGATTTCATTCTTTCTTAAGGTATGGTATTTTGGGGATAAGCAGTGATGAGCTCCCATATGTGTATTCTCTGATTCTCCATGATTGTCAAAGTGGGAGCTTAGACCACAAAGAGTAAAATGTATACAGCTATGAGAGACTGTTATCTTGACTTTGAGGCTAATTCCTTGGGGAATAATCAAACAAAAATTTTAAAAGGGGCTGTGCTCCTGAATTGCTCTGCTACTCCTAAAAGGGTTTTTATAAGGAGGTGTGCTTGTAGTATATTTTGTTTTTTCAAGGTGGTGTTCAAAACAGGAGAAGGGTTTGGAATTCCCAACCACTGGAAATCATGAGCAAGCTAATTACAAGCTTGGGCAAGTTTTCTAAGCCTCAGTTCCCTCATCTGAAAAATGGAAACAATCTCAGCTTCATGGAGTTGCTATGAGGACTGACAAATAAAGTATATAAAGCACCTAGCATGTAATGTGTGTTCCATACATAATAGAAAATCAATCATGCTCAATTTAATTACTTGGAAAGACAGAATATTTCTAGAGTAGCACTGCATTTGTCATTCCTACATATAACTTTTCTAAAGAAAGACTCACTTTATTTTCTTAAAACCCTGCAAGGCAAATGGCTTTATTTGTCAAATAATCCAACACAGAATAGAGGTGTCAGGCCTTAGATATATTACCAGATGCTATTTTTTCCCCTATGGTTTATTTGTAGGACAGAGATTTTGGATTAATTAATATTAATTAATATGGTGTCTTGTTGAGAAATTTTCTATTGCAATCAGGAATTCTTTTACTCATATGACTACAATCCATGAATGAAAATTGCCAAAAACCACATTCAGCAGCAGGAATTCTCTCATTCATTGCTGATGGGCATACAAAATGGCACAGCCACTTTGGAAGTCAGTGTGGAAATTTCTTACAAAGTTAAACATAGTTTGTTTGTTTGTTTGTTTTTTTTACCTACAGTCCAGCAATCACAATTCTTGTTTTTTACCCAAATGAGTTGAAAATTTGCGTCCACACAAAAACCTACACATGAATGTTTATAGCAGCTTTATTCATTATTGTCAAAAAACTGAAATAAAGATGTCCTTCAGTAGGTTGAAGGATAAATTGGTGTATCCACACAATGAACTGCTATTCAGTGATAAAAAGAAATGAACCATCAAGCCATGAGAATACATGGAGGACTCTTAAATGCATATTACTGAGCGAAAGACGCCAGGGTGCAAGTCTATGTACTGTACATCTCCAGCTATATGACATTCTGGAAAAAGCAAAACTATAGTAATGATGGAAAGATCCATGGTTGCTGGGGCTCAGGGAGAGAAGAGGTGAATGGTCAATGGCACAGGGGGTTTTTAGGGCAGTGAAACTATTCTGATTGTAGTGGTGGACACATGACATTATGCATTTGTCAAAACACAGACCTATACAACACAAAGAGTGGACCCTAATGTAAACTATGGACTTTAGTTAAAAATAATATATCAATATTAGCTCATCAATTGTAAAATACATACCAAACCAATGCAAAATGATCATAGGAGAAACTGAGCAGGGGAATATAGGAGAACTCTTTGTACTTTCTGCTTATTTTTTTTCTGTAAGCCTAAAACTGCTCTAAAAAAACCTATTCTATATATGATTCACTTGCCTCTTCCTCTGTTTGGTTTATCTGTTTTAGGAATAGAAGTCACAAAACCAGAAAATGAAAATAGCGCTCTGCAATATGGTAACTGGAGAATAATGCTTAGAGGCAATCGCTTTTGAAAACAGCAAATGTCTTCTCTGATACGATGTTAGCCACCACACTACCCTTTTATATACACTACACGTTACTAGGGAAGCCAGTATCGCCACACAGTGAAGTCACACCTGAAACGTGTGCCAGCACATATGCATCCATTTAACTGAAGAATTTTGTTCTTACTTGGAATTGGGCGAAATAATTGATCTTTTTCTTCAATCTCCTCAGCTGTTGGTGTTGCATTTAAAGCTGTTAAGACAATAAATTGGTGTTATGGTATACAAAATTCACTTACTAAAATTACTGGGTGTGTGTTTAATGTAGAGAGTTTATTCTTATTATTCAATGACAGTTTATGTTCCATAAAGTCCCGTGAACACTGACTTAGTGAATACTGAATTGCTTCTCCTGGGGATATGCAAGTTTAGGTTCCTGAGAACCTCTGGTCATGATTTTTTCAACCAATCAATACATAACTTGTTTTATATGTGTTTCTGTTTAAAGATGCTTTATTTAATATACATTGCTGATTCACTGACATTAAATTCATGATTAATGGCAGTAGAATTCAAGCCTAAACAAGTTTATCTGACATGTATTTTTCTCCATAAGGTTTATCACAGCCTGCCTGTGCTTGGGAACACTAACCAGCATCCTAAAACTCCAGTTGGGGGCCATTTTAATTAGCAAAATCACTGACTGAAAGCACAAAAATGCAAAACACGTAGCACTAAATCAACCACAGAAAGGACACTTAATTATAGTCTCAGAATTGCAAAAGAAAGGCAGTGTCGCCTTGTTCTACCTCCAATGGGAACACGAGTGTCAGGCAATTAAAATTTTTTGCTGCTTTGTGCATGTCTGGAAATGACAATGAAAGTGATTTGGGGGGTTATAGACATATTTTAGATGTAGGTAAATTCATGTATACAAAATTTGCAAATAATGAGGACCACCTGAATGTGGTATATATTTTGTGTTTACAATGCATGCATAGATGTGTGTGCTACATGAATTACATTTATGCATGCATGCATGTACATGGACATTTAAACGTGCATATGTATAACATGCACATTACATTTAAACATGTATGCTTATATGTTTATGATATATGCTTTACTTTTATGCATGTATATATTTTGATATATACTTTGCATTTAGTCACGTATCTCCATGTGCTTATGTGCATACTGTTCCAAACACAAAGAGGAACTACATTGAGCAAGAGCCTTCTTTAAAATTTTTAATCATGAATAAAATCATAAATAATCATAAATGACAAGACAGCAACATTTATAGGAGCATAAACTTTGGGGGAAGAGAATCAGAAAATATGTGACACAATGAGCTTTTGTGGGTTTGTTTTGCATTTGCTATCACATGTGATAATGGCAGCAAAAATGTTGACTCATTAATTCTTAATATCAGAACTATTTACTCTGATCTTGGCTTTCTTACATAAGACTTTAGAAAACAAAAACATTTTCCCAGGTACCTAACTACTATGAGTTTACCTTTAGCCAACATTGTCCAAAATGCAGGCTCATTTGGACCTTTGGTTCGTTCTGTTTAAAAAACAAAATAGAACAGAATAACTAAGTAAGGCAAGTTCACTTTACTAAATTTGTGATAGAACATTTATTCACTTGTTAGTCACGTAACAGTTAAACCTTGAGCTTCTACCACGTTCCAGACGCTGTGGTTGGCATTAAAGTTCAGAAATGAACAAGACACAGGCCTAATACTGAAGGAATATACAAGCTCAGTTTGGGAGGCAGATGAAAATCATCATTAATTATGCTGCAGGACAATGGAGGCTTCCATAGAAATGCACAGGTGGTGTGTGCAGAGAGACCTAACTCCAGTCGCAAAGGCCAGAAACCCTTCGAAAGGGAGGTGATGCTCCAATATAGTCTTCGAAGACTTGAAATTGTTTGCCAGGCAAACGAGGCAAGAGTGCGATCATTCCACTGCAAGCAAACTCAATCATGAGCAGATTTGGTGAGTTCTGAAAGCCTCAGAAAGAAGAGTGAAAAATGTGGATGGGAAATGTGACTAGAAATGAAACTTGAACATTTCTCAATGGGCACATTATTTCATATTTAAATGCCTGGTTAAGAAATTAAAACATGACTCAAGCCCAGTAGTAAATTACTAAAGATATATAAGAAAGAACCACTATCAGGATAATGAGATTTCTATTTTTAAATATATTGAAAAAGTAACTAAGATTTGTGTCTGTTTTAGTAGTGCTAAAGATGCAAACTAATTCACAGTAACCATGTGAGAAACACACTTGGATTGCATGAACTGGAGAAAATAGGGTTTCATGTAATGACAGGTCTATTGTCTTCAATTAGACCACCCATTCAGTTAGACCACTCGTTCAAGACCTTAGAGGAGAGCCATCCAGGGTTGTTACGGTTATATAAATATTTTATAAGGAACAATATTCTTGGCAGGAAAGTAAAATGATGATTTTAATTTTGAAACCTGTCACTACCAACTCCCCTCGCCTCCAGTACTTTTAGGAAACACTAACCATTGATTCTAATTAGAGATAAATTTATTCCTCAAGATGATAGAAATTTTTACATTATTATTTTAAAATCATATTAATATATATTAAAATATATTTATCTATTTAACATAAATATAAATGTAATATATTTTATTAAAATAAATTTTATTTTAAAAAGAGCTCACATTCTATCTCTTGTTGGGAAAATCTATAAATTGACTCAGATTTTCACTGTTTAAAAGATTTTAGAGTGACTTTAGATTGTAGCTTTATAAATTCTTTAAGCATGCTATTACTTTATGAAGTGCCCAGAGTAGTGAAACTTAAATTAAATCATATAATAATAATATGCTCCAGGTATGACTACAGTGTAGAAACTTTAATACTTCGATTTCTTTCCCCAAGGGTTTCTCTAGAATTTTCTTCACTGGTGACTTTTCCAGGAAATGATGTAGTTGTTTCATTGATGAGTTTATCTGCAAAAAGGGATAAGAGATTATCAGCATATACAAATATGGACAGCATCTGTGATTAGGCATTTTTTAAGCTAAAAAAAATGTAATAAAGAAAAAGAGAAAGATGCTGACATTTTCCTGAGATATCATGAAGAAGGGGAAAGAAGAAGACATAGAAGAATAAAGTTTTAAAATAATGGGTTGCCTGAGAGGGGATTAATACATCCATAATTTGCAAGAGATAGGAAAAGGTGGGGTGAGGGTGGAGGGGTGGGTGTTTATAAGCTTCCTTTAAAGGTAAAAGAGATCTATTGGGATCTGGGAATCATCTGAAGCCAATGTTCAGGGAATCATCTGAAGCCAATGAGAACATGAAAACATGAGAACGTTGGCTTCAGATGATTCTCTGAACAGGACTTGAAGTGATACTATACGCACTGCGCAGCTAGGTTGCTGCTCAGTGTTTAGACATAGAAGAATGTGCATCAGTATCCTTGTAAATAGGATATCTGCATGTTAACTACTTAAAATAGGGTTTTGGGTATAAAGATTTAGGGCCACAATTCAAGGATTTGGGAGCCTAATCTAGTATATATCTCAGTCTATAATCTGTCCATCCTCTGGAGAAATGTCAGTAAGAGTATATTTGGGAACAATTGTGACTGGCGACATTTCTCAGACCCTCCTATCCCACCCTCCCATGATGGCCATTTCAATTAATTTTGTTTAATATGGGAGTCAATGAAGTTCCACATGAAGTACAATCTTGTTATAGAAGAGGTTCTACAGAGAGGCAGCATGAATTCCCATTGAGCATACCAATAGCACCATGACAGGTCTCTTGGCAAGAAAGCGGTAGAAAAGAGAGTCTGTTACCAGAGTTGACATGATTCAGGCAGGACTCCAACAAAATTGATAAATAATCCTTTAACTCTGCTATACATCCCTTATTTTTGGAGAAAAGTGTGTGGCTTTTCCCCTTGCCCTCACAGTTCTAGTGATTAAAAAAATTGTTAGTCACAATTATTCTGGAAGGTTCCATCTCCTTGAGGGGCTTGCTCCATTAGAATGCTCCTATCATATTAGCATATCTCCTTCTGTCAGAGCCCCCATTTAAAATGGCAATGATTTCTTAATCCAATCCAACTTTCTTTCACAGTACTTTGGGGATATAAATTGTGAGAATAGAAATTGATTTTAGAATTTCTTTTGTGGGTCCTGTGGTTCTCAATAATCCATCTATTAAGAGAATTTCAGCTACCCAGTTCTTTGAAGACCTGGCTCTCCGTTTCTCAAACAAGATGTTTGCTGTGTACAAGCAAAATTCCCATGAGTGATTTGTTTAACATATGCCCTTGAAATTTCCCTCACTTATGTCCCAAGGTTTGAAATTGCTCAAAATATTCCATCATTGTCAAATAACTTTATTAATAATTAGGTATTACTGAGTCTGGCTCCTCCTAATTGAAGCTACTAAAGTCAGAAACATTCTTTCTTCCCTATTTAATTTTATCCTCTTTTCCTTGTTTTCTGTTTTATGCTTGTGTGTTTCTTAGATATGAGCTGTTGACACTTCATAGTGAAAGATATGCATGTGTACTTTGGAGACTTTTAATGGTCTCCAAAGTCACATGTTGGCAACAGTTTTATCTAGCAAATTAATTGTGTTTCATGGAAAGATGTAAAAGGGAAATAAGAACATTTGAAGTTGAAGGTGTAAGCAGAAAGGAGAAGGATGTGGGTTTAAGAAAGACATGCAGTTTGCTGGAGGCCTAAATGTGGTCATTATTTTTCTTTCCATGAAAACCAAAAATGTGATGCTAAGAAACTTAAGAACATCCTTTGAGTTCCGACTTTATTAGTGCAAGGACATGGAATCTCCTGACATTAACTTCTCTAAGACTTTTTTCCTACTTAACGCTCTCTAGTGCTGTTTTGAAATCTTGCTTTAAGGACTTTTTATATTTGCAACAGTGACTTCCAATACTTTGAGTACTTACAATTTCTTAGAGCAAATTGCAAATCAGTTGTTGCTCTCACGGATATTTCAGACTGGCTGCCATTTGGATTTTGCGTCGTGAACATATCTAAAAACACAAGATCAAATGTTTTCAGCAACTGGCTAAATTACTTCTTGTTCCTTTGAGTTTTTCCTCCTCTGATTTTTTTTTCTTACAGCATAGGCACAGACTAATTTGGGGAAAGGATAATAAAGTATTTGAGACATTTTTCAGCTACAAATTAAAGAAACGGGGAAATGTTTAAAAATAAAATTCATGGGGAAAAAGCAAATTGGTATCCTTATGCTAAATAACATTCTGAGAAGAAATTATAAAGGAAACTACAACAAGTGCTGAAGTAGATTTGTAGATGTATAATATCACTCTATTGACATAATCAAAAGCCAAATAAGAGGCATTTGCTTGCCTCTGAACCTTCTGTTAGACTATGGAACAGTTTAAATAGCATATATTTCAATAACAATAACAATCAAGGTGTCATATACATTCACATTTACATATGCCCATAAACAATCTTACTCTTAAGAGTGGTCAGTGGAGTTGGTTGTAATTCAAAACTAGTGGATATATCCACCTAACCAGAGTGAAGTAAATTGGATCAATATGGCAGACTAACATATTGATGTATGAAAATATACATGTCTCCTCTTCCCAAAATCTCATGAAATGACAGAAAATTTTATACATTTATAATAGCATATGTGTGTTTAATACATACATATATATACATTCAATCATCTTACCGTGCAGGCACATGCATGCACACACAAACTGTGCCATTAATGTATCATGATTTTTGAGGAATTTCTCAGTTAGAAATTCCTCATGGAGAAATATAACAAAAGGAAACCAAAGTCCAACATGCATGTTATGAGTTATGAAAGCATAAAAGTATAAAATATGCTGTGGCATTTTTCTAGGGAAGATGGATCAAAGAAACTATTGAAAGGTAAAAACAGCCAATTTCAAATGAGAATAAAGATTATGTTAAATGAGTTTCACATGAGTAGGGAATTGGTGTTAGATATTTGGCGAACTTCCTTAAAAAACAAAGTTTTATGCCTAATTTATGCCATATACAATAACTGGATTTAAGACCTAAGCATTAAAAACAAAAATATGGGGGGAGGGGCAAGATGGCGGAAGAGCAGGGTCCCCAAATCACCTGTCCCCACCAAATTACCTAGATAACCTTCAAACCATCCTGAAAATTTACGAATTCGGCCTGAGATGTAAAGAGAGACCAGCTGGAATGCTACAGTGAGAAGAGTCCGCGCTTCTATCAAGGTAGGAAGACGGGGAAAAAGAAATAAAGAAACAAAAGGCCTCGGAGGGGGAGGGGCCCCGCGAGGAGCCGGGCTGAGGCCGGGGCGAGTGTCCCCAGGACAGGAGAGCCCCGTCCCGGAGGAGCAGGAGCTGCACCAACCTTCCCGGGCGGGCGGAAAGGGGCTCGCAGGGAGTTGGAGCAGGACCCAGGAGGGCGGGGATGCCCTCGGGCTCCCGGGGACACTAACAGACACCTGCGCCCCGGGAGAGCGCCCCGAGCTCCCTAAGGGCTGCAGCGCGCACGGAGGGACCGACCGGAGCAGCTCGGAGGGGCTCGGGAGCGGCTCCAGGGAGGGAGCTGCGGGCGGGAGCGCGAATCCACCAGCGCAGGCCCCGGAGCACAGGGCGCCGGGACACAGCCCAGGATCCGGCCTCCCCCGGGACAGGCAGAGGCCGGGAGGGCCCGAGACAGCGAGGACGCTTCTGCCTCGAGCTGAGCAGATCAGTGGCCCCGCCCCGGAGCCTCCAGGCCCTGCGGACGGAGAGCCGAGAGCCCCGAGCCCGAGCCCCGTAGTTCCTGCGGAGGCTGAATCCAGGCTTCCAGAGTTGCCATAGCAACTGCGACTGTTCCTCCTGGGGCCCCACGGGGTAAACAACCCCCGCTGAGCCCGGCAGCAGGCAGGGGCAGAGCAGCTCCCCCAAATGCTAACACCTGAGAATCAGCACAGCAGGCCCCTCCCCCAGAAGACCAGCTGGACGGACCAGTGATACTCCCCCGTGTTCCAATACAACTTGTTTCTGGCCACTCTGCACTGAGCAAAATGACTAGAAGGAAAACCTCACTTCAAAAGAAAGAATCCGAAACAGCCCTCTCTCCCACAGAGTTACAAAATCTGGATTACACTTCAATGTCAGAAAGCCAATTCAGAAGCACTATTCTACAGCTACTGGTGGCTCTAGAAAAAAGCATTAAGGCCTCACGAGACTTCATGACTGCAGAATTTAGATCCAATCAGGCAGAAATTAAAAATCAATTGAATGAGATGCGATCCAAACTAGAAGTCCTAACGACGAGGGTTAACGAGGTGGAAGAACAAGTGAGTGACATAGAAGACAAGTTAATGGCAAAGAGGGAAACTGAGGAAAAAAGAGATAAACAATTAAAGAACCATGAAGACAGATTAAGGCAAATAAATGACACTCTAAGGAAGAAAAACCTACGTTTAATTGGGGTTCCCGAGGGCGCCGAAAGGGCCAGAGGGCCAGAATATGTATTTGAACAAATCCTAGCTGAAAACTTTCCCAATCTGGGAAGGGAAACAGGCATTCAGATCCAGGAAATAGAGAGATCCCCCCCTAAAATCAATAAAAACCGTTCAACACCTCGACATCTAATAGTGAAGCTTGCAAATTCCAAAGATAAAGAGAAGATCCTTAAAGCAGCAAGAGACAAGAAGTCCCTGACTTTCATGGGGAGGAATATTAGGGTAACAGCAGACCTCTCCACAGAGACCTGGCAGGCCAGAAAGGGCTGGCAGGATATATTCAGGGTCCTAAATGAGAAGAACATGCAACCAAGAATACTTTATCCAGCAAGGCTCTCATTCAGAATGGAAGGAGAGATAAAGAGCTTCCAAGACAGGCAGGAACTGAAAGAATATGTGACCTCCAAACCAGCTCTGCAAGAAATTTTAAGGGGGACTCTTAAAACTCCCCTTTAAGAAGAAGTTCAAGTAACTCTGAACGTGAATGGGCTTAATGACCCCATCAAAAGGCGCAGAGTTTCAGACTGGATAAAAAAACAGGACCCATCTATTTGCTGTCTACAAGAGACTCATTTTAGACAGAAGGACACCTACAACCTGAAAATAAAAGGTTGGAGAACCATTTACCATTCAAATGGTTCTCAAAATATACCCTAAAAACTACAGAACACTTCTGAAAGAAATTGAGGAAGACACAAAGAGATGGAAAAATATTCCATGCTCATGGATTGGCAGAATTAATATTGTGAAAATGTCAATGTTACCCAGGGCAATTTACACGTATAATGCAATCCCTATCAAAATACCATGGACTTTCTTCAGAGACTTAGAACAAATTATTTTAAGATTTGTGTGGAATCAGAAAAGACCCCAAACAGCCAGGGGAATTTTAAAAAAAGAAAACCATATCTGGGGGCATCACAATGCCAGATTTCAGGTTGTACTACAAAGCTGTGTTCATCAAGACAGTGTGGTACTGGCACAAAAACAGACACATAGATCAATGGAACAGAACAGAGAACCCAGAAGTGGACCCTGAACTTTATGCTCAACTAATATACGATAAAGGAGGAAAGACGATCCACTGGAAGAAAGACAGTCTCTTCAATAAATGGTGCTGGGAAAATTGGACATCCACATGCAGAAGAATGAAACTGGACCACTCTTGCACCATACACAAATATAAACTCAAAATAGATGAAAGATCTAAATGTGAGACTAGATTCCATCAAAATCCCAGAGGAGAACTCAGGCAACACCCTTTTTGAACTTGGCCACAGTAACCGGAGAAGGACAAACAGTGTATGTTCTCATTCATTTGGGGAATATGAATAATAGCGAAAGGGAATATAAGGGAAGGGAGAAGAAATGTGTGAGAAATATCAGAAAGGGAGACAGAACATAAAGACTTCTAACTCTGGGAAATGAACTAGGGGTGGTGGAGGGGGAGGAGGGTGGGGGGTGGGGGTGAATGGGTGACGGGCACTGAGGGGTACACTTGACGGGATGAGCACTGGGTGTTATTCTGTATGTTGGTAAATTGAACACCAATAAAAATTAATTTATAAAAAAATAAAAAAAAAAGACACTAAAAAAAAAAAAAAGAAATTATTTGAAAAAAATAGGAAAATAATTTAATTTCTTCTATTGAATAAGGCCTATCTAACCAACATATAAAATGCAGAAATTATTTTAAAAATTAATCAACAAAAAAATTAATCAACAATTGATATTAGAAAATTAAAACTTTTCTCTGTGATTAAGATATCTAAACAGGTTTAAAAATAAGCAACAGCCTGGGAAAAAATACCTGTTAACTTTTACTATAGGAGAAAGGTTAATACACTAAACATAAAAAGAACTCCTACCAATAAACACAATCTGATAGAAAAATGGACCATGGATATGAATAGGCAAATCACAGAAGTAAAAATAAAAATACCCAAATAAATACAGAGAAAAATACGCAACTTCATAAGTAATGCAAATGAAAACAGTAGTGGAAATTTCTCACTATATTCACAAATACGATTAACAATATTAATTGTAGTTGAGATTATGGAGCATTCTTGGAGGATGTAAATTGGTAGATACTTTTTGGAGGGCAATCTGCTGGTATTTTTAAAGATTTACTCTTCATTCAGCAATGCCCAGTACTCGGTATCCATCCAAAGAGAGATACACCCAACTGTATATGAGAAGGATGTAAAGGGGAAAAACTGCATATAATCTAATTCTTTTAAAAAAATCTAATTCTTTAAAAAGATAGTGGATAAATTATGGGACATCATTTTATGGAATATTAGGTATCCACTAAGAATAATGAGGCAGATATGAAAAGAGTTCCAGAGTTGTTAAATGAGAAAAGTAAGTCATAATACAATTTTTAAGACGATCCCATTTATGTTTTGTATATAATGCTTGTGTAAAAAAGATTTTTTTTCTTTAATCAAAGTAATCATCAGGCTCTTGGTCTATTTACCCATCGCGAAAAGGAAATGATTGCACCATTTGCACACCATAGGAGGCAGCCTGGTGATGGGTAGATTAGATACCACTCCTGACTCTGGTTTTGGTAGCTATGAAGACTGGCAATTGACCCCTCTGAGCATCAGGTGTTTTTTTCACCTACAAAAGAAGGATATTGATTCATAAAAGAGAAAACAGGAATACAACTTATGCATTTTGTTATCAAAGTACTTGAGTGTGTACACACACACATATATATACATATATATATATATATCTTGATTGTATTTCTATTTTCCTTTTGCTTAATGTTAATAAGGATCCAAGATGAATAGATTTAATCTTAAATTTGTTTTTATTTTAACAAGAGTTTCTTATGAACTCTTCCCTTTATAGAACGGTGGGCCTTATAAAGATATGGAAAGAAAGCCCGTTATGAGTAATGATGAATAAACTGAAGTTTGATGGACCTTCCAAACATCTTAAAGTCATCTTGTTATGGGTTGAATTTTGTGCCCCCCCCCAAAGATATGTTGAAGTCCTAATGCCCAGCATGTCAGAATGAAACCTAATTTCAAAATAGGGTTATTGATTAATTAATTAGTCAATATGGACTCACAGTGGAGTATGGTGGGCTCCTAAACTGATATGGTGTCCTTATAAGAAGAGGGAATGAGGCAGCCTGGGTGCCTCAGAGGTTTAGCGCCACCTTCCGCCCAGGGTGTGATCCTGGAGACCTGGGATCAAGTCCAACATCGGGCTCCCTGCATTGAACCTACTTCTCCCTCTGCCTGTGTCTCTGACTCTCTGTCTCTCTCTCTGTTTCTCTCATGAATAAATAAACTCTTAAAAAAAAAAAAGAAGAGGGAATGGACACAAAGGTACAAGCCTTGTGCTACAAGCCAAGGACTGCCTGGGGTTACTGGAAGCTGGAATAAGCAAGGAATAATTCTCCCATAGAGGCTTTGGAGAGAGCATGGCAATGATCAAAACTTTGATTTTGGGTTTCTGGCTTCCAGAACTGTGAAAGAATACATTTCTGTGGCTTTGAGCCACCAACTTTATGGTACTTTGTTTCAGCAGCAGTGGGAAATGGATAGCTACCTCCAAATTTTGGTTAATTCACCATAGAATTAGATCAATTTCAAATCACCATAATGCCATGATAAACTCTGTTATTTATAGGAAATTACCAAAAGAACCTCGCTAAACTTCATAGCATTTCATGAAAAAGCACTGTAGAAAATAAGAATTTCATTTTACACATGAAATGTTTATAAGGTAAATAAGAACTTAAGAAGTAGGAAATAAAATGATTATAGAATTTTTTAAGAGTTAAAATAAATCAAACCCATATAACCAGCTTTTATATATGTGTCACTATTAACTTTAAAGACTTACATTCTTTTATATCTTTATAATGATCGCCAGTTTTCTCATTAGCAGGAGTATTCGCCTTAATTTCCGGTTCCGTTTTATATTCCTTTGCAGAGTCAGGCATCCATATATCATCTGCAAAATTCATGTACATAAATATGTTGAGTTCTTTTACTACTTTCTTTTTTTTAGCTGCATTTTTCCACAAAGGATTTGAGGCAGAGATTTAAAATGTAAATTATGCCATATTTCCAATAATAAACTTTGTATCATCCTATAGAAAACTCACATACCAGTTTTCTAGGGTAATGGGTCATTTTTCTTATCTGCTATTTCTGTAAAATCTATAAATGCTTACTCACCATTAAAAGAAGTCCCATTGAGGTTCTGTAAAGAAAGAACCTCATATAAAAGAATAAAAAACATAAAATTCATAAGGAAAATGATGTGATTTATCCAGCAATCTACTGCTTCTCCTGAGAGTTTCATTTCTGTTGCCCAGTAGATCCTATAACTAGGTAGGACATTATGATGTCACTGCCACATGGAGGCCAGAATGCTAGGGAGGAGTTTCCCAAAGCTTTGTGACTCAATCTGACATCTATTTTGTCTTTGATACTATGATGGTTTCTAGTTTTAAAAAATAAACCATTATAAGCTTTTCTTTGAAAATTAGGAAATATATTTTCATGAAATAATGTGAATTATTAGTCACCAGATATTATTTTATTTCTTTTTTTAAAGATTTTATTTATTCATGAGAGACACAGAGAGAAAGGCAGAGTCATAGAGGGAGAAGCAGGCTCCCTATGGGGAATCTGATGCAGGACTCGATCCCAGGACCCTGAAATCACACTCTGAGCCAAAGGCGGATGCTCAACCACTGAGCCACCCAGGCATCCCATTTTCTTTTCCTTTTTTTTTCTTTTTTTAAAGTTAAATTCACTTAGCCAACATGTAATAGATACTTAGTTTCAGATGTAGTATTCAATAATTTATCAGTTACATATAACACTGAGTGCTCATCCCATCAGGAGCCCTCATTAATGCCCATCACCCAAATACCCCATCCCCCATCCATCTTCCCTCCAGCAACCCTCAGTTTGTTTCCTATAGTTAAGAGTTTCTTATGGTTTTACTCCCTCTCTGATGACTTCCCATTCAATTTTCCCTCCCTTTCCCTATGATCCTCTGAGCTGTTTCCTATATTCCACATATGTGTGAAAGCATAAGATAATAGTCTTTCTCCGAATGACTTATTTCACTTAGCATACTTCCAGTTCCATCCATGTCAATGCAAATGATAAGAGTTCATCCTTTCTAATGACTAATATTCTGCTGTATGTGTATACCACATCTTCTTTATCCATTCATCTGTTGATGGACATCCAGGTTCTTTCTAAAGTTTGGTTATTTTGGACATGGCTACTATAAACATTGGGGTGCAGGTGCCCCTTTGGATCACTACATTTGTATCTTTGAGGTAAATGCCTAGTAGTGCAGTTGCTGGGTCATAGTAGCTCTATTTCTAACTTCTTGAGGAACTACCATATTGTTTTCCAGAGTGGCTATACCAGATTGAATTCCCAGCAACAGTGTAAGAGGGTTCCCCTTTCTCCACATCCTTGCGACATTTGTTGTTTCCTGTCTTGTTAACTTTAACCAATCTGAGTGGTGTAAGGTGGTTATCTCATTGTGGTTTTGATTTGTATTTCCCTGATGCTGAGTGATGTGGAGTATTTTTTCATGTGTCTGTTGGCCATGTATATGGAGAAATGTCTGTTTATGTCTTCTACCCATTTCTTGAGTGGATTATTAGGTTTTTGGTTGTTGAGTTTGATAAATTCTTCGTAGATCTTGAATATTAGCCATTTATCTGATAAGACGTTTGCAAATATCTTCTCCCGTTCTGTAAGTCCCCTTATAGTTTTGTTGACTGTTTCTTTTGCGATGCAGAAGCTTTTTATCTTGAGGAAGTCCCAATAGTTCATTTTTGCTTTTGTTTCTCTTGCTTTTGGACATGTGTCTAACAAGAAGTTGCTATAGCCAAGGTCAAAGAGGTTGCTGCCTGTGTTGTCCTCTAGGATTTTGATGGTTTCCTGTCTCGCATTTAGGTTTTTCATCCATTTTGAGTTTCTCTTTGTGTATGCTATAAGAAAATGGTCCAGTGTCATTCTTTTACATGTGGCTGTCCAATTTTCTCAGCACCATTTATCGAAGATACTATCTTTTTTCCATTAGATATTTTTTTTCCTGCTTTGTCAAAGATTAGTTGACCACAGAAATGAAGGTCCATTTCTGGGTTCTCTATTCTGTTCCATTGATCTATGTGTCTGTTTTTGTACCAGTATCATAGTGTCTTGATGATCACAGCTTTGTAATACAGCTTGAAGTCAGGCATTATGATGCCCCCAGCTTTGGTTTTCTTTTTCAACATTCCTCTGGCTTTTCTGGTTCCATACAAATTTTAGGATTATTTGTTCCAGCTTCGTGAAAAATGTTGATGGTATTTTGATAGAGATTGCATTGAATATGTAGATTGTTCTGGGCAGCATAGACATTTTAACAATACTTACTCTTTCAATCCATGGGCATGGAACGTTTTTTCCATTTCTTTGTGTCTTCCTCAATTTCCTTCATACGTGTTTTGTAGTTTTTAGAGTACAGATCCTTTACCTCTTTGGTTAGGTTTATTCCTAGGTACCTTATGGTTTTGGGTGCAGTTGTAAATGGGATTAATTCCTTGATTTCTCTTTCTGCTGCTTCATTACTGGTGTATAGAAATGCAACAGATTTAAAAAAAATGCAACAGAGTTCTGTACACTGATTTTGTATTCTGCTACTTTACTGAATTTGTGTAACAGTTCTAACAATTTTTTGGTGGTCTTTTGGGTTTTCTATATAGAGTATCATGTCATCTGCAAATAGTGAAATTTTGATTTCTTCCTCGCCAATTTGGATTCCTATTACTTCTTTTTGTTGTCTGATGGGCTAGGCTTCCAGTACTATGTTAAATAACAGTGGTGAGAGTGGACATCCTTGTCTTTTTCCGACCAGAGAGGAAAAGCTCTCAGTTTTTGCCCATTGAGGATATTAGCTTTGGGTTTTTGGTATATGGCCCTACATATTGAGGTATGTTCCCTCTAACCCTTCTTTGTTGAGGGTTTTTATCATGAATGGATGTTATACTTTGTCAAATGCTTTTTCTACATCTGTGGAAAGGATAATATGGTTCTTATCCTTTCTTTTATTAATGCAGTGTATCACGTTTACTGATTTGTAAATATTGAATCACCCTTGCAACCCAGGAATAAATCCCACTTGATTATGGTGAATGATTTTTTTAATGTACTGTTGGATTCGATTTGCTAGTATTTTATTGAGAATTTTTACATCCATGTCCATCAGGGATATTGGCCTATAGTTCTCTTTTTTAGTGGAGTCTTTGTTTGGTTTTGGTCTCAGGATAATGCTGGTCTCATAGAGTGAATTTGGAAGTTTTCCTTCCTTTTCTCTCTTTTTGGAACAGTCTGAGAAGAAATTCTTTAAATGTTTGGTAGAATTCAACTGTAAAGCCATCTGGTTCTGGACTTCTTTTTGTTGGGAGATTTTTGATTATTGGTTCATTTTGTGAGCTATTGATCTGTTCACATTTTCTATTTCATTCTGTTTCAGTTCTGGTAGTTTATATGTTTCTAGGAATTTATCCACTACTTTCAGGTTGTCCAGTTTATTTGGCATATAATTTTTCATAATATCCTCTTATAATTGTATATATTTCTGTGGCATTGGTTGTTATTTCTCCTCTTTCATTTTTGAGTTTATCTATTTGGGTCTTTTCCCCCACCACCACCCCCTTTTTTTTTGATAAGTCTGGCTAGGGGTTTATCACTTTTATTATTTTTTTCAAAGAACCAGTTCCTGGTTTCATCGATCTGTTTCATTGTTTTGTTTGTTTTAGTTTCTAAATAATTTATTTCTGCTGTAATCTTGATTATTTCCTTCCTTTTGCTGGTTTTAGATTTTGTTTGTTGTTCTCTTTCTAGCTACTTTAGGTGTGAGGTTAGATTGTTTATTTGAGATTTTTCTTGCTTCTTGAGGTAGGCTTATATTGCTATATACTTTCCTCTTAATGACCATTTTTGCTGCATCTCAAAGATTTTGGACTGTCGTGTTTTCATTTTTGTTTTGATGTATTTTTAAATTTCTTCTTCAATTTCCTGGTTGACCCATTCATTCTTTAGTAGCACATTAACTTCCATGTATTTGTGGACTTTCCAATTTTTTTCTTATTGTTGACTTCAAGTTTCATAGAGTTGTAATCAGAAAGTATGCATAATATAATCTCTTTGTACTTGTTGAAGCCTGATTTGTGACCTGGATGTATTCTGGAGAATGTCCCCTGTGCACTTGAAAAGAATGTGTATTCTGCTGTTTTAGAATGAAACATTCTGAATATATCTGTTAAGTCCATCTGGTCTGGTGTGTTATTCAAAGCCATTGTTTCCTTATTGATTTTCTGTTTAGATGATCTTTCTATTGATATAAGCGGGATGTTAATGTCACCTATTATTATTGTATTACTAGCAACGACTTCCATTCTGTTTATTATTGTTTTATATATTTGAGTGCTCTCATGTTGGGGCCATGAATATTTATAATTGTTAGATCTTCTTGTTGAATAGTCTTCTTTATTATGATAATAGTGCTCTTCTTCATTTCTTGTTATGGCTTTTGGCTTAAAATCCAGTTTGATATAAGTATGACTACTCTGGCTCTCTTTTGATGTCCATTTGCATGATAAATGTTTCTTTATCCCCTCAGTTTCAGTCTGCAGGTGTCTTTAGGTCTAAAATGAGTCTCTTGTAGGCAACATATAGATGGATCTTGCATTTTTATCCATTCTGACACTCTGTGTATTTTGATTGGAGCATTTAGTCCATTTACATTTAGAATAATTATTGATAGATATGTATTTAGTAGCATTTTATTACTTGTTTTTTCATTGTCTCTGGAGACTTTCTCTATTCTTTTCTTGTCTTTGTCACTTTTATTCTTTCCTTTCTACTCAAAGCATCTCTTTTTGGCTTGTGGTTTTGCCTTCACACGTCTCATCTCTCCCAGGGCAGCACTCATCCCTTCCTCCCACCTCAGTATGACTATATTTGTTCCCTGTAGAGAGTTGGTCCTGACCTCATGGGTTTTACCTTTCTAATGCCAGCAGTATCTGCTGGAAATGTTGGCCAGCATACAATAGATTTGATTATTTCTACACTGGATATGTGTAAGATTGGTTACTTCTGACTTGTGTCAATGGTTGGAAACAATCCATATGCAACTGCAGAAAAAAACTCAACAGAACTCAGTATAATGGTGAAGTCTATTCATTGCCTTCAAAGAAACTAGTGGCTCTTCAGTTAAGATCCATTTTTATT